CCCAAGACATCCTAAGCCAAAAGAACAAAGGCTGGTTAGGGCCATGCATGCTACCTTGACTCAAACTACGGCGACTACAAGCTATCAGTAATCAAAAACGCAACATGGGTACTTGCTGTACTAAAAGCAGAGATGATAGAGCGCAATAGGAATGCAGAACAGGTAAGCCCTGCGAAATAATAATAGCTTACACCCATTCGTGCACACTCATATGTCTTTGGACCCAAACCTGACAAAACTAGAAAATGGGGAAAATGAAACTCTCGCGTATTTAATAAGAATTGGTTGCAGAAAACGACTAGCATATAGTAGAAAACTGGAAAACTGGGGTCCCTTCCCTACACGCGTATATAAAAATTAATTTCACAAGATGGGAATAGAGATTTAAATGTGTTAGAACTTAAAACTATAAAAATCCTAGAATGGAAAAAACTGTTGGCCAATACCATTCCAGGACAGGTGGCGATGGAAAGGACTCAGACTAAACATCCAAAGAAAAATGGCACAAAAGGCCAAATTTGAATAATGGTGGATCCTAATTAAATAGTAAAGAGTGTCTGCACCAGTGAAAGAACTACCATCAGAGTAACAGGCAATCCACAGAATGGGAGTGAAAATTTTTGCAAGTGTGCGCAGGCCTCCTGACAATGTAGGGCGCGTAATATCCTGGAATCCTACAAAGAACTGCAGAACAAATTTTACAAGAAAAAATACAAACGCCCATCAAAGAAGTGGGCAAAGGATAGGAACAGACACTTTTCAAAAGGGAAGACCAATTTATGAAGCCAACAAGAGCACATGAATAAATGCTCATCATCACTGGCCATCAAGAACGAGAAATGCAAATCAAAACCACAATGAGATACCATCTCACACCAGTTAGAATGGCGATCATTAAAAAGTCAGGAAACAACAGGTCCTGGAGAGGATGTGGAGCAATAGGAACACTTTCACACTGTTGGTGGGAATGTAAACTAGTTCAACCATTGTGGAAGACGGTGTGGCGATTCCTCAAGGATCCAGAACTAGAAATACCATTTGACCCAGCAATCCCATTACTGGGCATATACCCAAAGGATTATAAATCATGCTGCTATAAAGACACACGCATACATATGTTTATTGCGGCACTATTCACAATAGCAAAAACTGGGAACCAACCCAAATGTCCATCAGTGACAGACTGGATTAAGAAAATGTGGCACATATACACCATGAAATACTATGCAGCCATAAAAAAGGATGAATTTGTGTCCTTTGTAGGGACATGGATGCAGCTGGAAACCATCTCAGCAAACTATTGCAAGAACAGAAAACCAAACACTGCATGTTCTCACTCATAGATGGGAACTGAACAATGAGAACACTTGGACACAGGAAGAGGAACATCACACACTGGGGCCTGCTGTGGGGTGGGGGTAGGGGGTAGGGGGTAGGGACAGCATTAGGAGATATACCTAATGTAAATGATGAGTTAATGGGTGCAGCACACCAACATGGCACATGTATACATATGTAACAAATCTGCACCTTGTGCACATGTACCCTAGAACATAAAGTATAATAAAAAAAATTAAAATTTGCAAAAAATTAAAAAAAAAAACCACCATGATACTGGTACCAAAACATATATAGACCAATGGAACAGAACAGAGGCCTCAGAAATAATACCACACATCTACAACCATCTGATCTTTGACAAACCTGACACATACAAGCAATGGGGAAAAGATTCCCTATTTGATAAATGATGTTGGGAAAACTGGCTAGCCATATGCAGAAAACTGAAACTGGACCCCTTCCTTACACGGTATACAAAAATCAACTCAAGATAGATCAAAGACTTAAACGTAAGACCTAGTACCATAAAACTCCTAGAAGAAAACATGGGCAGTACCATTCAGGACATAGGCATTGACAAAGACTTCATGTCTAAAACACCAAAAGCAATGGCAAAAAAAGCCAAAATTGACAAATGGGATCTAATTAAACTAAAGAGCTTCTGCACAGCAAAAGAAACTATCATCAGAGTGAACAGGCAACCTACAGAATGGGAGAAAATTTTTGCAATCTACCCATCTGACAAAGGGCTAATACCAGAATCTACAAAGAACTTACACAAATTTACAAGAAAAAAACAAACAACCCCTTTAAAAAGTGGGCAAAGGATATGAACAGACACTTCCCAAAAGAAGACATTTATGCAGCCAACACACATATAAAAAAATGCTCACCATCACTGGTCATTAGAGAAATGCAAATCAAAACATCAGTGAGATACCATCTCACTCCAGTTAGAATGGCAATTATTACAAAATCAGGAAACAACAGATGCTGGAGAGGATGTGGAGCAATAGGAACGCTTTTACACTGTTGCTGGGAGTGTTACTTAGTTCAACCATTGTGGAAGACAGTGTGGCAATTCCTCAAGGATCTAGAACGAGCAATACCATTTGACCCAGCAATCTCATTACTGGGCATATACCCAAAGGATTATAAATGATTCTGCAATGAAGACACAGGCACACGTAGATTCATTGCAGCAGTATTCAAAATAGCAAAGACTTGGAACTAACCCAAATGTCCATCAATGATAGACTGGATTAAGAAAACGTGGCACATATATACCATGGAATACTATGCAGCCATAAAAAAGGATGAGTTCATGTCCTTTTCAGGGACATGGATGCAGCTGGAAATCATCATTCTCAGCAAACTATCACAAGATCAGAAAACCAAACACTGCATGTTCTCACTCATAAGTGGGAATTGAACAATGAAAACACATGGACACAGGGAGGGGAACATCACACACTGGGGCCTGTAGGGGGTGGGGGGCTAGGGGAGGGATAACATTAGGAAAAGTACCTAATGTAGGTGACAGGTTGATGGGTGCAGCAAACCACCATGGCACCTGTCTACCTATGTAACAAAACTGCACGTTCTGCACATGTATCCCAGAACTTAAAGTATAATAATAAAAAAAAAACAACAAAAAATAAAGTACTGAGTTGATTTATATAAAGATAATACAACTGTTGTTATTCTGAACAATAACTAAATCCAAACTATATTCTTGGACCAGAAATATTTTATTGGTTCTATTTTTTTGATAGCAGAGATTATTGGGTCAATTGGTAAACTTTGTTTAAATGGGAACTGTGGATTAGATGGTAATATTAATAATTTATTGTATCAATGTTTTACTGTATTTAATCAGTATACTAAGGTTATATAGGAGTGTTCTTGTGTTTAGGAAATATACACCAGGTGCCCAGGGATAATAGTGCATCATGTCTGTCACCTACTGTCAAAGGATTCAGAAAAAATATTAGCATAAGAAATAAAGACGAAAGGAGACAGAAAGAGAAAAAGAGAGAGAGGGAGGGAGGCAGAGGGCAATGTGGTAAACTATTAACACCTGGGGAATCTGGATGAAGGTTATATGAGAGTTTTTTATTCTATTCTGGTAACTTTTCTGTAAATGTGAAATTATTTCAAAATAAGTTTTTGTTTTTGTTTTTTGTATTTTTAGTAGAGACAGGGTTTCAAAATAAGAAGTTTTTAAAAATAAGGTTTAAGAAAAGATGTGATCCATTTGGAAATTCATGTCTTTGAAAAACCAAAAGTTATAAATCAAACAGATCTTCACAACATATAAATTACAAAGGCGACACAGAAAAATGACCAAGCAAAAATTGACCTGGGTTCCAGTATATGTTCTCACACTAGTCACTTTAAGTAAGTCATCTAAGCTCTCTGGGCATCAATTACCTTATCACTGAAATGAGGTCATTTAATAAAATGGTCTTTAAAGTTCTTTTCCAGTCTTAAAACTCTATAATTTTCAGTTACTTCTAATGCTCACCTCCTTACTTCTCATACATTTTTATAGAGATACGTTTCAGAAAATTAAGTTTTGTTAAATTCTAAAATTTACATTTTTTTTCAATAAACTGAATAATCAGTCTTACTGAAGTCATTAATAAGATGACTCAAAATCTTGTCAATTTGGCAGTAGCCACTATACTCACATAATATCCACACCTCCTGGAATAGCAGATGATGATGTGTGCTCTTTGCTGGATGACGAATCAGTAGTACATTCTGGCTCGGATACAGAATCACTGCTGCAGGGCTCACTATTTGGAGATGCATTTCTTTGAGAGGTAGTGTCAACTGCTATAGGTGTTAGCTCACCCTCACCGAATGCATCACTTATAAACATGCCTTCATGGATTAAATAAGCCACCTCTGTGTCCAGTGAATTATCTTTTGCAGCATTCTTCTGTTGTGAAATCTCTTCCAATTCTCTAGTCCTTTGGTTTTTGTCAAGAACTGAGAGAACAACACTGTGAATGATATTTAATGTTGCCTACAAGAAAATAGGACACACTTTTAAGGGACATAAAATATCTCTTACCCAAAGTTCCCAAAAGAGAATTCTGTGCATGTAATTTTGGACATCTATAATCATAAATGAGTCAAAGTCATGTATATCAGAATTTCTACCATCTTTTATTACATAGGAAAAGTGATGTGAAAAAGAACTGCCCAGGAGAAATGGGTTCACTAAAGCTTAGAAATAAAGTTCCTATATTTTAACTAATTTCTAAAATGGAAATCTCCCTAAAATATGTTGCATATTTCTCTGACCTCTTAAAAAGGTTACACTATGACCTCTTAAAAAGGTTACACTAAACATAACTTGCCCATCAGAGAATCATACACATTGATATGCCTGCCTAAAAGAAAAGGAATCTGTGTTACTTACCATGCCTAGCCCCCACCTCTCTCTCTCCTTTTCTCATATCTTCTCTCACTTACTCACTACTCTCCAGACATTCTAGTTCTCTTTCTACTGTTCCTTCATTCCAGGATTGTTCCCACCTCAGTGCCTCTGCGGTTTCCACTATCCGGAATGCTTTTCACTTTGATCTTTGCACATATTTCCTTTTCATCACTGAGGTTCTGGCACCAGTGGTCACTTCCTCAAAAAGGCCTTCCCTGACTCTCCACCCAGCAACTTTATCCCATTATCCAGTTTTTGTTTAAAAAAAAAAAAATCATTATCTACAATTATCTTTGTTTATTCTAGGTCTCCTTCTACTAGAATGTTAGCTCCATTCCATGACACTATAATCCTAATGCCTAGAATAGTGCCTGGCAAATAGGAGGTGCTCAGTAAATATTGAAAGCTAGGCAAATGAAGAGTAAATTTATGTAAACTAATGTCTTCACGGACAATTAGGAAATAAAGGACTGCTTGCCTATTTTAACATTCACAGTTGCAGTCTTAAAATTTGTATCTCCCTTTCTCAAAACACTTACTTTTTTTGGAATCTCCACAGTTCTAGTGAAGCACACTCCAACTTCGGGTCTCCAAAATCAAGAAAAGGATCTAAGCTAGTTCAGTTAGTACATGGAACCACCACAATCTGAGCTTAATGATTAGGAAGGTACATAGAAGAGAGAATTGCAAAGAAATAAAGCCAACGCTTGATGACATCAACAACCTCTCTATGAAGCACCTAAAGGCTGACCTACCTCTGTGTATTTTTTTAGTTATATGAGTTAATAAATATCCTTAACTGTTTGAGACACTCTGAGTTGTGTTTCCTGTTATTTGGAACTGAAAGCATTTTAAACGAGCCAATAGCCCATAAAGTATACCGAAAATAGAGCCTTCAAGAGCTTTAGGACCAAAGTGTCTACTATGGATACTGCATTTTTTTTTCTCTCTTCATTGCTCACCAACTTCTTCTGTATTGTCACAAACTAGCTGCTCCACTACTGCTGCTTTAATCCTCACTGCTGTCCAATCTTTGATATACTTAGTTCCCCCATCTTGTTTTGCCTCTTTTTCCTTATCTCTTCTGTCTTGCTAATTTTCTTTCTTAACTTTTTAAAATAAAAAGACATGATAGACCTATCCAACATCTATTCTACATCACTTTTCCCATGGTACAACAGCCATGTAATTTGGGTAGAAATAAGCCCACCTTCCAGCTTCAAGTATCAGTTCTAAATAGCCCACTCAGTGTACTCCCAACCTCCTTGCCTCATGATTAGCTTAGAGATGAGAAGAAAATCCAGATTTAAACTAATAATCAGTGCACAGCATTTTCCTGATCACAGTGACTGGACATGTGACCTAAACTGGTTCAATCAATTAAAGCCAAGGACTTTCATCTGATGACTGAAGAAGAAAAACTCCAGGTGAAAAATTCTAAATTTGGCTTAATCAATAAAGGAATTTCATTTGGTGACTGAAGAAGAAAAACTCTAAGTAAAAAATAGAAAACTTCTAGGTGGTATAGAATTGTGGCAAATGTGGCAGACCCAGAACTGATGAAGCCAAGAGGAAAGAGAAAGGCAAAGCTGAATTGGAAACAGAGAAACTAAGCTGGAGAACCAAGACAAAACCATGCATGAAGCCCTTCCTGGTCTTGGACTTTTTTTAATTCCCAGAGCCAATACATTCCTTGTATTGCTTAAACTAGTTTGATTTGAATACTTCATTCCTTTTAATAACATCTTGGTTTATATACAGTTATTAAAAATTTCCACATAAAGTATATCAGGTATTCTCTTAGGGATTCTTCTTTGCTGTTTTCACCATATCTACACTTCTAAAGACTTGCTAATTATTTTTTCCAAGTCTAAGGCCATTCTTAAGAATGCCAGAAGACTGGTGTCCAAAAAATAAGATTTTAAAATATATAATAGGTTCAACAGTAGATACATCGTTTACTTTCTGAACTATTACATAGTCTGTAGACAAGTTCATGTTTCAAAAACACCAGGACAGCTAAGCCAAATATAATTTTTCAACCTTGAGAATGGAGTTAATGAAATATCTGATAGTCATATTGATAACCATAATGACAACTGATATTGTCATTCTGAAATGACAGACTAGGATTATTTATCCACACAACAAAATGAAATTTACAAGTTAAGAATTCCTTGAAAAGAAGGTAAGCTGCATTTAAAGCCTGTTATCTTTCTTACCTATAAAAATTAGCCTAATCTATAGGGTGCAAACAATAAACAAGAATTTAATAAAAAGTCAAAATACAATAGTGAAGAATGAAGTATGGAGTTCTTATAATCCTGATTTCCAACCTTACAAGACTATGGTAATCATAACAGTATGGTACTGGCATAAAGAGTGACATATAGAACACAGAGAGTCCAAAAATGAACTCTCACATATATAGTAAAATGTTTTCTGACAAGGGTGGCAAGACCACTCAATGCAGAAAGGTCAGTCTTTTCAACAAATGGTACTGGGAAAACTGAATATCCATATGCTAAAGAATGAAAGTAGACCTCCACCTTATACCACATATAAAAACTAACTAAAATCAATTAAAGGCCTAAATATAAGCTCTAAAAATATAAAACTCTTAGAAGAAAATACAGGGAAAAAGCTTCATGACATTGGATTTGGCATTGATTTCTTGGATATGAAATGAAAAACACAGGTGACAACAAAAAAATAGACAAATTGGACTACATCAAAATAGAAAAACTTCTATGCATCAAAAGACACCATTAACAGAGTAAAAAGGCAACCTACGGAATGGGAGAAAATATTTGCAAATCACATATCTGATAAAAGGTTAATATCCAGAATATGTAAAGAACCTCTACAACTCAATAGCAAAAAAACCAAACCACCCCATTAAATAATAGGCAAATAAAACATTTTTCCAAAAAAAGACATAAAAATGCCCAATAAGCACATAAAAAAGATGCTCAACATCACTCATCATTAGAAAATTGTAAATTAAACCTACAGGGAAATACCACCTCATACCCATTAGGATGGCTAGTCTCACAAAATCCAGAAAATACATTTTGGTAAGGATGTAGAAAAACTGAAACCCTTGTGCACTATTGGTGGAAATGTAAAATGGTTCAGCTGCTATGGAGAGTAGTGCGAAGGTTCCTCAAAAAATTACAAATAGAATTATCATATGATCCAGAAGTTCCAATTCTGGGGTTGACAAAAATAAGAACTAAAATGGGGCCTCAGAGAGGTATTTGCATATGCATGCAAATATACAGAGGTATATGCATATGCTCCTAAAACCCTTGGAATCTCCAGAGTGGTAAATGCATGTTCATGACAGTATTATTCTCAACAGCCAAAAGGTGAAGGCAACACAAATGTCCACTGACAAATGAATGGATAAGCAAAATGTAGTGTATACACATAGAATGGAATATTATTCATATTAGCCTTAAAAAGGAAGGAAAATCTAACATGCTACAACACAGATGGCACCTTGAGGACATTAAGCTACATTAAATAAGCCAATCATAAAAGGATAAATATTGTATGATTCCACTTACATGAAATACCTAATAATCAGTACACAGTATGAGTGCTCTATGAGTCAAACTCATAGAGATAGAAAGTAGAATGGTGGTTGCCAGGGGATGGGAGAAAGTGGAAAAGTGCGTGTGTGTGTCTGTGTGTCTGTGTGTGTGGTATGGTGTGTGTGCGTGTGTCTAGACAGGATCTTGCTAGGTTTGCCCAGGACTTGTGTGTGTGTGTTCGTGGCTGTGTGTGTGTGCAGACAGGATCTTCCTAGGTTGCCCAGGCTGGTCTCAAACTGCTGGTCTCAAGCGATCCTCCTGCCTCAGCCTCTCAAGGTGTTGGGATTACAGGCATGAGCTACTATGTCAGGCCTATATTTGGTCTCCGTCCCCATTCCCTGGCATACAACTCCTAAAACCCTTGGAATCTCCAGAGTGGTAAAAACGTCTTCATATGCTAAAGAGATGACAAACAGCCGAGGGCCCCTACATAGCCACAGGAGGAAGGCTGGTCACCTGAAAGACTAAGGCAGGATTAGAGGGTTAGGACTTTCAGCTCCACCTTGGCCAGAGTTGTTGTTGTTGTTGTTGTTGTTATTATTATTACTACTTTGAGATAAAGTTTTGCTCTTGTCACCCAAGGTGGAGTGCAATGGCACGATCTTTGGCTCACTGCAACCTCCATCTCCTGGGTTCAAGTGATTCTCCTGCCTCAGCCTCCCGAATAGCTGGGATTACAGGCATGAGCCACCATGCCCAGCTGATTTTTATATTATTAGTAGAGACGGGGTTTCACCACGTTGGCCAGGTAGGTCTAACATGGTAGGTGATCCACCTACCTCAGCCTCCCAAAGTGCTGGGATTACAGGCGTGAGTCACCATTGCCGGCCCAGAGTTATTATGTAATAGGTACAGAGTTTCAGCTTTGCAAGATAAAGAGTTCTGTGGGCCGGGTGCGGTGGCTCAGGCCTGTAATCCCAGCACTTTGGGGGGCCGAGACGGGCGGATCACGAGGTCAGGAGATCGAGACCATCCTGGCTAACATGGTGAAACCCCGTCTCTACTAAAAATACAAAAAACTAGCCGGGTGAGGTGGCGGGCGCCTGTAGTCCCAGCTACTCGGGAGGCTGAGGCAGGAGAATGGCGTAAACCCGGGAGGCGGAGTTTGCAGTGAGCTGAGATCCGGCCACTGCATTCCAGCCTGGGCGACAGAGCGAGATTCCATCTCAAAAAAAAAAAAAAAAAAAAAAAAGAGTTCTGTGGATGGATGTTTGTAACGGTAGCACAATAGTGCAAATGAACTTAATGCCACTGAATTGTGCACTTAAAAACAGTTAAGATGATAAGTTTTGTATGTTTGTTTTTACCATGACCAAAAAGAAAGAAAAAATACACACTAAAAAAATACAAATAACAGCAACAGATCCTCAAGTTGTTAACAATTACTCAAATATGAAATTTATACATCCCAATGGTTTATTATTTATCCATTCAAAATAAAAATACTATTGAAATATTCTGGCTGAAAATTGACACTTTAATTTCTTTTAAAAAGTATAATACTAAATCCCTGCACTTTGGGAGGCCAAGGCAGGTGAATCTCGAGGTCAGGAGATTGAGATCATCCTGGCCAACATGGTGAAACCCCATCTGTACTAAAAACACAAAAATTAGCTGGACATGGTGGCATGCACCTGTAATCCCAGCTACTTAAGAGGCTGAGGCAAGATAATCACTTGAATCTGGAAGGCGAGATTGAAGTGAGCTGAGATTGTGCCACTGCACTCCAGCCTGGCGACAGAGTGAAACTCCATCTCAAAAATATATATATATATATAAAAAATACTAAAGTGACATATAGGATAGGATATCCTTTGTCTTTGAGAAATAAATGCAAAATGTAGGAAAGTAAATTATTAACCCTGGTTAATCAAACAAGAAATTCAAATAGTCTATTCCTGTAATGTAGTACTATTAAAAAACAAAACAACTTTTTCTGATTATAAAAGTAATGCTTCTCTTTGTAGAAAATTCACGGAAAATAGCAAAGGATAAAACTTTTAAATGACATCTAATCTGACCAGCTAAAGAAAACCACCAAAAAAAACAAGGTTTCTCCTTGTTCTAGGAAGATAAAAAAGTTTAAAAAAATTTTTTTTGACATAGCTGAGATCACACTATATAAGTACATCTATATCTTGCTTTTTTTTTTTTTTAAGACGGAGTCTTGCTCTGTCGCCAGGCTGGAGTACAGCGGCATGATCTTGGCTCACTGCAACCTCCACCTCCCAGGTTCAAGCAATTCTCTTGTCTTAGCCTCCCGAGTAGCTGGGACAAACATGTACCACCACGCCCAGCTAATTTTTGTATTTTTAGTAGAGATGGGATTTCACCATATTGGCCAGGATGGTCTCGATCTCTCGACCTCGTGATCTGCCTGCCTCAGCCTCCCAAAGTGCTGGAATTACAGGCGTGAGCCACGGCACCTGGCCCTATATCTTGCATTTTTAACTGAATATCATAATGTATGTATTTTCTCCTACCATTAAAAATCCTTGGCTGTATATAATATTCCATGGTAAAGAATGTGTAAAGCGTAATTTATTTTACCATTTCTCTATCGTTAAGACATCTGGGTTCTTTCCAATTTGTAGTTATTTTTAAATTCTTCAATAAAAATGAACAGCTTGTAATTAACATTATTTTTCAGTGAAATAGTACTTGATAGAATCACAAACTTTTTTCACAGAAAAAAGTACTGTATTTCATGTCATCTGCAAAGATGTTGTACATAAGTACTAGTTTAAGTGGTCCAAATGTGAAAATGAGCAATTACAACTATAATAAATCAGTTTCCATACTGTACACACATAAAATAATAACTCTACTTAGTTTAACTGACATAGAGCCTTAAAGTGGCATAACTACAGTAAATCATCACTTAATATGGATGGTAGGTTCTGGGAGACTGTAACTTTAAGTGAAACAACATACAGCAGGTTTTTGAATAACACTGTTTCCTTCAATGTTATTGAAAAAAATATTGAGGTAAATGTTTCACTATAATGATGAGTGAAAAAAAAAATAGCTTTGGTATAAGTTGTTTCACTTAAAGTCACAGTTTCCAAGACCTATTCATAACATTGAGGACTTACTGTACTTTAAAAAATTACTGGCAAAAATTGGCCAATTCTACACTATGCAATGTAAGAGTTCTATATATCTAGACATGCAATAATTGAAGTGTGTGATGATGAGGTCATGGTCAGAATATAAGAAGTGAAAACATGGTTTAGTTATTGAACCCCTATAGATACAAGTTTGTGTCTATCACTGTCAATAGGTAGGACCAACATTTTAGAAGCAGTCTAAATAAAGCACAGTGAATCCCATTCTATAAAACTTTTGTGAACCTGATTGGAGAGCTTACACATGTGACTTAGCATTGCTCCAATGTGAATAAAGGAAAATTCATGTCATACACAAGTAGCAAAGTCCCCTGCACTATTTAACATGGTACTCAGGAGATGCTGGGGATGTTAACTAGTACATAAAACACAACGCTAACACTTGATAACTCAAAGACTATCTAATTTCACAAATGGCCCCTTCTAACTGTTACACATGGTAATTCCTAATGATTCTATTCTTTTTTTATTTTTTTCATTTTTTGAGAGAGTCTTGCTCTGTTGGCCAGGCTGGAGTGCAGTGGCACAATCATGCCTCACTGCAGCCTTGACCCACTGGGGTTAGGTGATCATCCCACCTCAGCCACCCAAGTAGCTGGGACTACAGGTGTGCATCACTATGCTTGGCTAATTTAAAAAAATATTTTATAGAGGTAAGGTCTCATTATGTTGCCCAAGCTGGTCTCAAACTCCTGAGCTCAGTGATCCTCTTGCCTTGGCCTCCCAAAGTGATAGGATTACAGGTGTAATCCACTGTGCCCAGCCTGTATTCTTCTTAAAACAAAGCTATGCCCTGTTGGTGATTCAAACTAACATATGAGTCTGACATCTTCTGTAAAATGATATGTGACCTGTTCTTTTTGTTATACTAAGTGGTTTAAAATTAAGTGGCTTGACTAAAGAGACAAAATAATTAAATGTAACACATGATGCTTGATTGGATTCGTGCCCAAAAAGTGAAATAAAAATCTAAATAAATATTAGCAGCCGGGCGCAGTGGCTCACACCTATAATCTCAGCACTTTGGGAGGCAGAGGTAGGCAAATCACTTGAGGTCAGGAGTTCAAGACCAGCCTGGCCAACATGGTGAAATCCCATCTCTACTAAAAATACAAAAATTAGCCAGGCGTGGTGGCACATGCCTGTAATCCTAGCCACTCAGGAAGCTGTGGCAGGAGAATCACTTGAACCCGGGAGGCAGAAGTTGCGGTGAGCCAAGATTGCGCCACTGCACTCCAGCCTGGGTAACAGCAAGACTCCATCTCAAAAAAAGTAAATTAGCAAGGTGATTTGAATATGAACAATATATTTTAAAATACCATTATATCAACATTGACTTTACAGAAAAGTTGGTAGTTTGGGGTGATTTTGGGGTGTTTAACAATATTGTACCTCTAGATAACCTAGGAAAACAAAAAATCACCAGAGGAAATATTACTGTATAATATTTAATGTCAAGTAAGCATAATATTTCAAGTTATAAAATTATAACTTATTAAATTCTTAAATAATTCTATAAATTATTAAATTCTTATTAAATTCTAAAAAATTTTAATTTTTATTTAAAACCAAGCCTCTTTAGAAAAATTACAAAAACAAAGAAACTGTTTTATTCTAGTTTGATTCTTTATTTACATATTATGTATCTAGAAAGCTGACTTAATTTTAGGGATATTCTGGACAAACTAATATATAAGCTTACCTTAACTCTCTGTAGGAAAATTGTAAACTTAGAGAAAATATCCTTGAGCAGATCAAACCACTGGGGAAAATTCAACATTCTCATCTGATCTGCAAGCCTAGAAAAAAATAATTCAAACAAAAATAATGATTGTTTCTGGGCCAATATAGCATCTACAAACTGGAAGAAATGAGACTAAATACTATCTAATGATAAAATGCAATTTTATCTAGATACCTAAAATGTTGAAGAGGTATATTACCAAAGAGTTATGGCTTATTTAAATATTTTTAAGACTGATAAGTTAAGTATATCATATATCAATTTCATATGAACAAGCTTTATGACCACTGAATGAATAAACCATAGAGAAGTGTGAAGATATACTCTGGAATAAAAATGGAAACACATCTCTGCCCAAAATTTCATAATCTGCTTTTCTAACTACAACTTTAAAAATATCATATGAGAGGTAATATGGAATGGTAGTTAAGAGCACTGGAGCCACAACACAATGCCTTGGTTTAAAATAGCAGCAGCTTATTGGAATTGCTAGCTATGTGGCTCTGGCAAGTGACTTAACCCCCGCCATGCTCCAATTTTCTCATCTAACATGAGGAAACTGATAGAACCGACCTTATGTGGTTGTTGTAAATATTATATGAGTTAATAAAAAATACTTAGAATAATGCATGACACATTTTTAAAAGTACCATGTAAGCAGCAGCTAATATTATTTTGATAGTTGACACAAATCATTAACTTCAAGGTGAAAAAAAGTAATACAAAATATAATTCATTCCCTAAAGATATTTTATAGTACCAAAATGACTTATTACTCTAAATTTTTAATAAATGCAGCTTCAGCTAAGAGTTTATTCTAAAAAGATACTACAACACTTGATATACAGGAAGTTCTCTACTTATATGGATAAAATTCCCTAGGGAAGAAGAAAAACTGACTCTCCACATCCATGGATGTGTCCCAATGACTTAATGTTTTCCAACCACTAACAATTCTCTCATTATTATAGTTGCTTCAACTAATTCTGAAATTGAGTTTTCCCTAGGTAATAGTGTGGAAATTAATACTCCATTCTGTGAGTTTGGCCCAGGAAAGTTTCACAGTTGTACATATCGCTATTCATATCTAAGCCAGTTAAAAACATTTAAATATCCATATGAACAAGAAATTCAGTCATAAAATATTATCACTATTCTTCTTAAAATAATAGAATAGGAATTTTTCTTTTTTCTTTTCTTTTCTTTTTTTTTGAGACAGGATCTTACTTCGTTGCCCAGGCTAGAATGCAGTGGCACAGTCACGGGTCACTGAAGCCTGGACCTCCCAGACTCAGTCCTTCTCCTACCTTGGCCTCCTGAGTAGCTAGGACTACAGGCATGTGCCACCACGCCCAACTTATTTTTTTAATGTTTATTTTTGGTAGAGATGGGGGTCTCACTTTATTGCCCAGGGTGGTCTCGAACTCTTGGGCTCAAGCAATTCTCCCACCTCGGCCTCCCAAAGTGCTGGGATTACAGGTGTGAGTCAATGTGCCTGGCCAAGAATAGGAATTTCTAGGGTGAAAACAAACAAACAAAAAAACACAAACATGGGCAATTCAAAATCATAAACTCAAACTTCTCAAAGCCAATTAAAAGTTGAATTTTAATTATATAGCTAAAAATTTAAACATAATACTTGCTATACCCCTGTAATGAATTATCTTCAGTTTCACCTCTCCATATCTATGTTCTGCCCCTCCCCATCCTGCTCTCTGCTCTGGGAAGCTAATCTGTGGGCTTGGCCCATGAGGAGCCCTTACGAAGACTGGAAGAAGTAAAGGTATCTACTCCTCTAGCTTTCTAGTAAAGGTACCTACTTCTCCTGTGTCTCTCAAGGGTTGCCTCAGGGTGACTGCTTCCCTCTACTCAAGGTCACAGCTTTTTTTCAACCACCTCCTCCTCAATTCTGTTAACCACTGTCTTTGTTCTGCACTGTCACTTGTGATTTTCCTACACTCTGCTCACACCTTAGTAAATAATTCCTTTACGAAATCTACTTCAAATTATTCTAATTTGCATGTATCATCTTTTCTGACTGATAACCACCAACCTATATATTTATACTTACTTCACAACAACATCTGTGTCTATTTCTTCTGTTTGTGAAACTTTATTAATCACACACTGCAAAATTTAAGAAAAAACAAAAACAATTTAATTGTCTTTCAAATCCTAAGTATTCCATGTTCCATTTGTATATTAAAAAGGCCCTTACTACATGAACACTTTTCAAAAGAGGACATACATGTGGCCAACATAACTGATCATTATAGAAATGCAAATCAAAACCACAATGAGATACCATCTCACACAAGTAAGAATGGCTATTACTAAAAAGTCAAAAATAACAGGTGTTGGCAACGTTGTAGAGAAAAGGGAACACTTATACACTGTTGATGGGAGTGAAAATTAGTTCAACCATAGTGGAAGACAGTGTAGCCATTCCTCAAAGACCTGAAGACAGAAATACCATTCAATCCAGCAATCCTATTACTGGTTACATACCCAGAGGAATATAAATTGTTCTATTAATAAAGACACATGCACACGTATGCTCACTGTAGCACTATTCACAATAGCAAATACATGGAATCAACCTAAATGCCCATCGATGATACGCTGGATAAAGAAAATGTGGTACATGTACACCATGGAATACTATGCAGCCATAAAAAAGAATGAGATCATGTCCTTTGCAGGGACATGGATGGAGTTGGAGGTCATTATCCTTAGAAACTAATGCAGAAACTGAAAACTAAATACTGCATGTTCTAACTTATAAGTGGGAGCTAAATGATGAGAACACACAGACACACAAAGGGGAACACCACACAGTGGAGATTATTGGAGGGTGGAGGGTGGGAGAAGGGAAAGGATCAGAAAAATAACTAATGGGTACTAGGCTTAATACCTGGGTGATGATATAATCTATACCAAAAAAACCCATGTCATGCGTTTACTTATGTAACAGACTTGCACATGTACCCCTGAAATTAAGATTTTAAAAAATTTAAAAGGCTCTTACTTACTACAATAATTACTTTACCAGATTTTTATATCTTACGTATCTCTCACAGTGTTTGAAAAGCTGATTACAATTAGCCAATTAAATAATCATTTCAGAGTGTGTTTGAATTGTAATAATATCACCTACTATTCAAAACTGTTCAAAATCATACACCAGAAAAGCAGAACTATAATATTTAGGAACAAAGTATAAGCCCCATATTAAAATCCCAAAAGAAATTCATATTGAAAGTTACATTTCCTTGTGATATATGCAACAGTTTAAAATTAAAAAATAAATGCTTAGATTTGAGGTCTGGGAATTGAAACATATCAGTTTTTAGAAATTGCTTAAAATATATATACAGAAAATTGTACAAATTATGTTTACAGCTCAATACTTTTGTACAAATGAAGTACATTTGTGTAATCAGAACTCAGCTCATTAAACAACCTTGCTAATACCCAGAGCTCCTCCCCTATTCCCTATCAGTTACTACTTCCACCCAAAATATACTATTGTCCTGATTTTTAAACCATAGAATTTTGCCTGCATTTGAGTTTTACATAAGTGGAATAATATAATGTATACTTTCTGTGTTTGGTTTCTTTGGCTCCACATTATGTCTATAATATTCATTTGTTATTCTGTGTAATCTATTCATTCTCATTAATGTATAGTATTCCATTGTATAAATACATCAAAATTCTATTTATCTTTTCTACTGGTGATGGAATTTGGGCTGTTTCCAGTTTTTAAAATTACAAATAGTACTGCCATGAACATTCTCCTGCTGTGTTTTGGTGAACTTATATACATATTTCTGTTGGGCGCATACCTAGGAATAGAAATGCTGGGTCCCAACATGTATGCAAAGTTGGCATTACTATACATTGCCAACAATTTTTCAAAGTGGTTGTACCAACTTAAAAATACAGTGTTTTAATCAGTGCTTGAAAGAGGGGATGATTATAAATTTTTTGCTTATTTTACTTAACTTTTAAACTTATTTTAAACTTTAAAAACTCATATATGTACATTCAACCTAATGATAATAATCAATTAAGCCTAATAAATACATTTAAAATTATGTTATCTTTTTCATATATTTAAAAACCGAAGTTCAGTGGATAAGATTTATCTGAGTAAAAAAAGTCAAAACAAAGATCAGGGAATACTGAAAAACACATGGATTTTAGTTTATAATTTCTTAGAGATTAGGATAAAAAGGAAATGAACATTTGTCTACTGCTAGTGGGAGTATAAATTGGTAAATCTTTTTAAATAGGAATTAAATTATATACATCAAATAACTTAAAAATACTTTTCACTCTCTAACCAATACTTCTACTTCTAGGAATCAGTCTAAGAACAAATATTCTTAAGTACTAAAAACAAACAAAATAACTTTATACCACAGATATTTGTCACAGTGCTATTTATCATATCAAATTAAAAACAACCTAAATATTCAATACAGAAGAAAAGTTAAGTAGATTTAACATAATGTTAATGGGACTTTACACAGTCATTAAAAATGATGTTTCTGAAAGCTTTTATAATGAGAAAATGATTATGATTCTAACAAATATATGTATAAAATCATAAACACATAATGACAACATAAGAAAATCAGTAACAGTCTACACATAGAAATATTCCTATAGCAATAATCTTTTGGCTGGTAGGACTATGTTTTACTTTCATTTTTCTATATTTTCAGTTTTTAGATAAATTAGCTATATTACTATTACACTACATATATTATTACTAGGATACATAAAAATAAACTTCGCAAAGGTTCCAGACCAAAGTATATCAAATAAAAATGCATAATTACCTGTTTAATGATATTCTTTGCTGTAATAATCATTTTTTCACCATAGATTTCTAAAAAATTAAGTTTTCTTTGTTTTAAAAGTCCAAATACGAGAGATACCAGTCTTTCCTGTTAAAATAAAATAAAAAGTATGTAACCTGATATTTTAAATAGGAAATAATTTTACTTAGAGGTAGAAATATTCAGCATCAGGAGTTCTGTTTGATCCTCAGATCGCTATCCTACACAAAGTATTTTCTAGCAGCCTGAAAAACCCCTCCCACAGCAATCTTACCATGAGATTTTTGGAGTCAGCATTCTAAAACAGATAAATCCTACCCCACCACAGTGAACCAATGAAGCTGGTTTTGGGGTAAAACAATACAAGGGTATTTTTTGTTCTAGTTTCAACAAGTAAAAAATATCCTTCTCACACCCTGATGACCAATAAATACTCCATGGGCCCTGTGGTTTGTTTTGGGTTTTGCTTGTTTGTTTGTTTTGAGACAGGGTTCCACTCTGTTGCCAAGGCTGGAGTGTAGTAGGGTGATGACAGCTCACTGCAGCCTTGATCTTCCAGGCTCAAGTGATCCTCCCACCTCAGCCTCCCGAGTAGCTGGAACTACAGGCATGTACCACCACACCTGGCTAATTTTTAAATTTGTTTTGTAGACTCACTGTGTTGCCCAGGCGGTCTCAGATTCCTGGGCTCAAACCACCCTCTAGCTTCAGCCTCCTAAAGTGCCTGGATTACAGGCCTGAGCCACTGCGCCTCGCCCCTGTGCTTTTTAATGCATGGTCTAGAAGACTGAAATAATGACCTAGACTCTCTGTGGGAAGTCAACTGCTAACATGTACAAAAGTTTCTTTACTTAGGCGGTTATCAGGGTTTCTGGGATTCTTTACTAGTTGTTGCCAGTGATTAACACTGAGAAGTTACCAGCTAAGTGAAGCCTGGATATTATGTATTTGTATATACATATATATATAACATGTTCATAATAGGTACTCAGTAAATTTGAGTGATGGGTAATTACCATATGATAATGATCACTTTTTTGGTTTTGTTTTTTTTGAGACAGGGTCCTGCTGTGTCACGATCATGGCTCACTACAGCCTCAAACTCCTGAACTCAAGTGATCCTCTCGCCTTAGCCACCCAAGTAGTTGGGACCACAGGTGTGCATGCACCACTACACCCAGCTAATTTTTTATTTTTTGTAGAGATGGAGTCTCCCTATGTTGCCGAGGCTGGTTTCAAACTCCTGGGCTCAAGCAATCTTCCCACCTCAGCCTCTCAAACTGCTGGGATTATAACATGAGCCAATGCAGCCAACTATGATCACTTTTTATAAAAGACAAGCTCCAGCACTCGCACGCATGCACACAATATAAATTAATTCATCCTATGTCTGTATTTTTAACTTGGTCTGTAAGCTCATTCTAACTCTAATTTCTAATTAAGCTCTACAATTATATTATTCTCTAATTTCATAGGATAATAAACAATTATGGTGCTTGCTAAAGTCACATAGCTAGTGAAGGACTTCATAGGTCTGATAGTCCTTGAAATTTAAGATAATTTTGCTTCCTATAATCTGAGGAAAATGTATTCTAAACCAAGACTGTTAAGCAATGGCATCAACTTCATTCCACAGTTAAAACACATACCTCTTCTAAAACTTGACAGTCATCTTCCAGTGGTCTATTTAAGTCACTGTGAGAATAAGTAGAAAATTCTGCAATCATCATTTTATCTATCAGTTTTTCTAATTCACAAAGCTGTGATCCCAAATGCCTAAAAAGGAAGAGGAAAATGTTATATTTATATTCACTAAAAACTACAAATTCGCTCCACACAATCAAGGGAACTAGTAGGTAAAACTTTTCCAGCTGACAGTACCTGTGCAATAATGCAATGTTTTCAAAAAATGAAGTCCTTTAACTTACCAAAATAACTGCAAATATTTCATCTTCTAAATTCCATTTTTCTCTTTACAGTTGACCCTTGAACAACATGGGGGTTAGAGACACCAAACACCAGTGCAATAAAAAATCTGTGGATAACTTCTGACTCCCCCAAAATTTAACTACTAATAGCTTATGTTGACCAGAAGCCTTACCAATAACATAAACAGTCAATAACACATTTTTTTCTATATTGTGTGTACCATATACTATATTCTTACAATAAAGCTAGAGAAAATATGTTACTAAGGAAATCCTAAGGAAAAGAAAATATATTTACTATTAAGTGAAATCAGATCATCATAAAGGTCATCTTCACACTGAGTAGGCTGAGGAGGAGCAGGGAGAGGAGGAGTTGGTCTTGCTATCTTAAGGGTGGCAGAGGTGGTGGAAGTGGAGGCAGAAGAGGCAGACACACTCAGTATAACTTTACAGAAATGCACTGTAATTTCTGACTTTACTTTTTCATTTATCTAAAAATGTTTGTTTCTATATGGTACCGATCCTTCTTCTACCATTTGCTTTAGTTTCAGTGCCCATATCATAGAAGAGTCCATGTCATAAAAGAAGTCAAACGCAGTCTTGAATAACGCGAACTCTGCTGCCAGACTGTCTAATGTCATCTTGTTTTCTGGCACTGCTGCTTCTAAATCTTTTTCCTCATTCTCTGGCATTGGTTTGAGAACACTCATCTCCATCAAGTCATCTTCTGTTAATTCCTCTGGTGTGGTATCTATTAGCTGTTGAATTTCTCCAAGATTCTTATCTTGAAATCCTTCATTCCTCACCCATTTTTGTCACATCCACAATCTCTTTCATGATCTCCTTGATCGTCTCACAGCATCTGCACACAGTTTTCTCTAACAGGAATTTATTGTTTTGGGCTTTATGGTCTTCACAATTTTTTCTGTAACAATGATAGCATCTTCAATGGTGTAATCCTTCCAGACTTTCGTGATGTTCTATCGGGGTTCTCTTCCACGGCACTGATAATCCTTTCTGCAGAGTAGTGTGTGTAATGAGCTGTAAAGGTACTTATGACTCTCTGATCTAGAAGCTAGATTAGAGATGTTGTGTTTGGGCCGGGCGCGGTGGCTCAAGCCTGTAATCCCAGCACTTTGGGAGGCCGAGGCGGGTGGATCACGAGGTCAGGAGATCGAGACCATCCTGGCTAACATGGTGAAACCCCGTCTCTACTAAAAAATACAAAAAACTAGCCGGGCGAGGTGGCGGGCGCCTGTAGTCCCAGCTACTCGGAGGCTGAGGCAGGAGAATGGCGTGAACCTGGGAGGCGGAGCTTGCAGTGAGCCGAGATCGCGCCACTGCACTCCAGCCTGGGTGACACAGCGCGAGACTCCGTCTCAAAAAAAAAAAAAAAAAAAAAAGAGATGTTGTGTTTGGGGCAAGGAGACCATTTTAATGCCTCTGGTGTTGAATTCATGGGGTTCTGGGTGGACAGCGCCATTGTTCAACACCAAAAGAACTTTAAAAGGCAGTCACTTTTTGGCAAGGTACTTATTGACTTCAGAGACAAAGCATCAATGGCACCAATCCAGAAAAAGTGTTCTCATCCAGGTCTTTTGTTGTATAAGCAAAATACTGGCAGCTGTTATTTATCTTTTCCCTTTGAAGCTTGTGGGCTAGCAGCTTTATAGATAAGGGCAGTCCTTATCACAAACCTGACTTCATTTGCACAAAACAGTAAGAAATAGCCTATCCCTTCCTGTCTTAAATCCTGGTGCTCACTTGTCTTCCTTACTAATAAATGTTCTTTATGGCTTTTTTTTTCCAGAGTAGGGCACTTTTGTCTGCATTAAAACCTTTCAGGTAGATACTCTTTCTCCTCCATTATTTTCTAAATGGCATCCAGGAACTCATTTGCTGCCTCTTTGTCAGCAGAAGCTGCTTCTCCTATTATCACGACTTTTCTGTAAGCCAAACCTCTAAAATTATCAAACCATCCTTTGCTGGCATTAAGTTCTCCAGCTTTAGATCCTTCACTTTCCTTTTGCCTTAAATTATCATTTGATATCTTAGCTTTTTCTCAGATAATATTAGAGTCTATAGGCATGCCTTTCTCATAGTAAGCCTGCACCTACATAAAATCTGCATTTTCAATACTGGATAAAAAGGTACTTGCAAAAAGTATAAGGCTTTTGTAAATGCTGTTGTAGCTAGAGTGAGGACTTGACAACTTTTTTTTTTTTTTTTTTAAACAATCGTGGGCAACCACAACTGCAGACCTCAATCTACTATACACATCAAGGAATTAAACTTTTTATTGTAAATGTCATCACTTCTCTCTGCTTCTTGGGAGTACTTCCAGCATCACCAGTGAACTTAGTTTGGGTCCCATGGTGTTATTCAAGGTGTACAGCATGTATTAAAAACAATAAAAACATGCCAAAACTGTAAGAGATCACCTTTTACTGTGATACTCAATTTACTGGAGAGAGGAACTACTCAAACATAGATGACTAGCATCACTTGAGCTCATCACAGTAGCAACTGGAGGTGGCTATGAAATTATTACAGGGGTATAATATGTACCAAAGTTTTTTGCAGGTATGGTCTAATACTGCATGAATGGGGCCATGTACAGTCTGTAAGTTTTGATAAATTTTAACTTTTTTGACAAGCAATTATGATATAGTTTATTGTTTTCTAGTATATGCTAGCTATTTCAAGATAACATGGCTTTAAATCAAATGATGAACGTTTAAAAAGTTTGAACTCCTAAGGACATATATTGTTTTGAAGAATTTCAGAAATTAAAACAAAAATCTTCCTTTGTCTTCTAAATAAATATAAAATGCATTCTTCTAAATAAACATAAAATTCAGTTGTTCAGGGTACTATTTTGAGACACTTCAGACCTAACTTTTTAAAAAAATTACAAAAAAGCCTTTTTCTCTTTCTAGGTAGAGCAATGGTAGATATAATACTATTGCCTTCTGACAAAGCTCTTCCTAAATTGAAAGACTGTTTACCTACTGTAGGAGCATTAAAACATTCGAGAGAACGGTATTCAGCAAAGATCACTATAGCAGGAAATCACTGTAAAATGTAAGCTTCTTTGTTCATATTTGATTATTGTCTGTGTTGTCTGTTTTCATAGTTAACACACTATTGTGTTTTCAGACTCAGCATTCGAAAATTATTTTAATGTGACAAGATAAAATTTTATGTTATATCATGATTGCAAATTTGTCTATTGATAAGAATTTAGATGTTTTGTATTTTATATTTACGTTTCTGAGATATTTAAGTTTTTAGTAAATATTGATGCTTTAATTTTTTTTATTAAGTTCTAGGGTACATGTGCACAACATGCAGGTTTGTTACATAGGTATACCTGTGCCATATTGGTTTGCTGCACCCATCAACTTGTCATTTACATTAGGTAGTTCTCCTAATGCTATCCTTCCCCCCAGCCCACCACCCTCGACAGGCCCCAGTGAGTGATGTTCCCCTCCCTGTGTGCGGGCTCTTTTTTGGTTCCATATAAAGATTAGTTTTTTCCAATTCTGTGAAGAAAGTCAGTGGTAGCTTGATGGGGATGGCATTGAATCTATAAATTACTTTGGGCACTATGGCCACTTTCACGATATTGATTCTTCCTATCCATGAGCATAGACTGTTTTTCCATTTGTTTGTGTCCTCTCTTATTTCCTTGAGCAGTGGTTTGTAGTTCTCCTTGAAGAAGTACTTCACATCCCTTGTAAGTTGGATTCCTAGGCATTTTATTCTCTCTGTAGCAATTGTGAATGGGAGTTCACTCATGATTTACCTGTCTATTATTGGTATATAGGAATGCTTGTGATTTTTGCATATTGATTTTGTATCCTGAGACTTTGCTGAAGTTGCTTATCAGCTGAAGGAGATTTTGGGCTGAGATGATGGGGTTTCTAAATATACAATCATGTCATCTGCAAACAGAGACAATTTGACTTCCTCTTTTCCTAACTGAATACCCTTTATTTCTTTCTTTTGCCTAACTGCCCTGGCCAGAACTTCCAATTCAACTATGTTGAATAGGAGTGGTGAGAGACGGCATCTTTGTCTTGTGCTGGTTTTCAAAGGGAATGCTTCCAGTTTTTGCCCATTCAGTATGATATTGGCTGTGGCTTTGTCATAAATAGCTCTTATTATTTTGAGATACATTCCATCATTACCTAGTTTATTGAGAGTTTTTAGTATGAAAGGCTGTTGAATTTTTTCAAAGGCCTTTTCTGCATCTGTTGAGATAATCATGTCGTTTTTGTCATTGGTTCTGTTTATGTGACGGATTACATTTATTGATTTGTGTATGCTGAACCAGCCTTGCATCCCAGGGATGAAGCCAAATTGATGGTGGTGGATAAGCTTTTTGATGTGCTGCTGGATTCGGTTTGCCAGTATTTTATTGAGGATTTTCTCATCGATGTTCATCAGGGATATTGGCCTAAAATTCCCTTTTTTTGTTGTGTCTCTACCAGGCTTTGGTATCAGGATGATGCTAGCCTCATAAAATGAGTTATGGAGGACTCCCTCTTTTTCTATTGGTTGAAACAGTTTCAGAAGGAATGGTACCAGCTCCTTTTTGGTGTTATTAAGGTGTATAGTATGTATTAAAAACAATAAAAAACAAAAATATGCAAAAACTGTAAGAGATCACTTGTTACTGTAATAATTTACTGGAGAGAGGAACTGGTCAAATACAGATGACTAGCATCACTTGAGCTCACCACAGTAGCAACAGGAGGTGGCTATGAAATTATTACAGTGGTACACTATGTACCATAGCTAGTTTTTTGGAGTTATGATTTAATACTGCATGAACGGGGCCAT